GAGGCGTAGTCCATTAATCATGGTTCAGGATGCTTGAGGCATAGTCGGTCAGTCATGGTCCATCAGTTTAAACTACACCTGGAGACAGCAGGAGTTGAACAGGGCGTGACCTCGCTTGATCTCACATGGGCCCTTAGAATTTGACCTGATTTGACCCGGAGAGGACTTAACTGTCCATGTGGGTTCCTGCAGAGCTTTGGCTTTTTCCGCTGATCTAGGAATTGGATTGCGGTTCATCCTGGCTGACCTTTGGGTGAGTTTGAAATAAAGCTTGGTATCTTTTATTTCTTCGGTTTCTTATAAGCACATTTACAGGCGTAAATCAGCCGTAAAATGTGTTCATTGGCAGGGAGAGAGTATTACTTGTGCATCTGACGATAAGTGAGTGATTCGTACAAGTGCACCATTTTAGAACGCTTATCTGACCTAACCTAACCTGTGCTGAAGGTTTGTAGGGTACAAATAATCTTTCCATATCTTAATTTAGATGCTCGTCGGCTAAAGCGACTTGGTATGGTTTGAATACTGTATATTTTGCTTTTGTCATTGTACTTTGAGCCTTGTCGCTTTGGCTACCACCGGTGGCCTCAAAATCAGCCTGAGATCACGAATATGAATTTATTTCGCCTTGAGGTCAGACCGAGCGCTCCCAACTGCTTTTAACGAGATGCTTCAATGAAACATTTCAAAAAGGTCTCGGTGAGACTGAAAGTCAGTGAATAAAAACATTGCTTTGCCCTACGGTCTCTTATTGCGCACATTATCTTTTGATTTTCAATCTCTGTTCTCGTCGATATAAAGTATTTCGCGGTTTTGCCGTTTATTCAATTCCCGTTTCTATTTCTATATATATTTGACCAACACTGGCACGTAGCCAAAATGCTGCTTGCGGTAGGGGGCATAAGTAACAATCTATTCCCCAAAATCTGGTAAAGTTGAACCAACATTTCTACGGAATTATCCGGTATTAATTGTAAAACTATTCACGCGTGGCGTAAGGAATCTTAACTATCTGTTGTCTGCATCGCTCTGCCGACATGTATTCTTTCCATTTGTTCCCATTGAACCTAGAAATGGCGGAGTTTGTGAGCCCACCAGCTTGCTGTCCCGGGCGGTTTAACTTACGCGTTATCTATGCACTTATTTCAGGTCTGTGGAATATGAGTAAGTCATTAAGGTAAACCGTCCAAATGAAGGGGCTAAGAACACGTGGCTAACGCGAAGCGTGTCTTTAAGACGGATCAGTCGCCCTAAGATTGTCTTTTTCAACGCTAAAATAAACGCTAAGTGCATTGAAATGGTGCCGAATGTAGGCAATCGACATCCTTCTCCATAACTTATATATTGGCTGCCTAAAGCCAAATCTATAGCCTTAGGGCGCGCTCCAGCACCTATGACAACTGGGCGCAACAGGTCACACTCGGACATCAGGACTTAATGCCGAACATTTAAATCTAACTTGCCTTATCAGAAATCTTTACAGACGTCCCTCGCCCTACCGAAAATCTGCCACGGAAGCCTCTCGTATGGACGGACATCCTTTCAAAGGGAGTAGTTACCCGGCCGGTAACATGCCGAAGTCCGTACACCATATGCCACAGGGGTACTCGATACTTGTCCAGGAGCCCGTGAGCCTCACCGACGTCACAAACGCCAGTCTGGTCCGGCCGGAGCACATGTCCGCCATCGGGGTTTCCTTCTAGCAGGCAAAACAGTGATTCCTCTAGTCTTTACGTCTGGCTGTGCGTGGCCTCGGGCCCACTTACCGCGCTCGGACATACCACCGGTCAGGATACCCCTTTCGGGTGATGGCCTCCCATACGAGCTTTCGTGGAAACTTTCCAGTAGGCCGCGATCTTGTCTTATCAGGGACGTCTGCACCTGGACAGTACGCCAGCCCCATTTGACACTTTGCTTACACTGGAAGTGTAAGCAAAGTGGTTAAGGACTGCGCACGCGAAAAATGCGATGGATAGAAAGATGTGTACACCAATAAAGCACAAGACATGCAACATAAGGAACCGAGCATGCCAAGAAACGAGGTACAAAGAAATGCGTATGCGAAAAAATATAACATCGAAGCGTTGCGTGCATGAACTTCTCATGATATAGTATTTTCGTACGAGGAGATGTGATACTAAAATTTGTGTACGATGTTTGCTAAGCTTACGATACTAAGTTTAACTCGGTCATGGTAAAGAAATTAGCGAATCCGGCCGGATAGGTTTCGAGACAGTACGAACTGTAAATGCTTCAGTACCAATTGTAAATGTAGCTCGTAAGACGATCGGTTGTGCACTCTTACAGCTTTACCGTAAAATCAGCACAGCGCAACTTTGCTGTGCGTGTTACTCATATTTGCCGTGCACATGGTACCCGTGTCGTATCACGCAGGTCGGCACACAGCGGCCCCTCGCGCTCGGGCGAATCTTCTTAGGTGCGCTGGGCTCAGGGCAAGTTTTTGTGTCGGCGTTCCCTACGTTCTGCGGGCCTCACTATCAAGCCAGTCTGAGCCCTGACATTGTGAGCCCTCTGAGTACTAGCCCTCGAGTTCAAGATACACGTTTGACGTGATGTACCCTGCGATGCACCCTTGACCTCTCTACGTAGCTGTCGATTACATGACCACGGAAGTAAACTGGCTGGGCTGAACGCAAGTCTCAATTTCCTTCCTAGGAGCAGCGTGAGGCGATACCATTTTCCGGTGATGCAAGGAGTTACGACGAACAGATTTTCAAGCAAAAATTGCACGTCCTGTCTCACACGGCGTCCTCCGCTTTGTCGGCCATCCACACAATGCGCTGCAATGGTGATGCCAGGGTCTTTCGGTAGTCCAGTGGGACGATCGCATCACTACCGCATGCCAGCCGGGGCGCTGTTTCCACGCTCAGGGTTGCGGCATGGCTGTCCAGCGCCTTCAGTGTTCCGCACATGTTGCGGCGAGCGTTTACAAAGACACAAACAAATGGTTTGGCCGCAAAGCTGTTCCTGGGCCAGCAGGCTGAGCTCTGGTGGTGGCCTGCGTTCCAGACAGAACTGACCTGGCCTCGGCCTGCTCCAGTCGGGCAGCGACTCGTCCTCCGTCAGGTGCGGCGTCTCAGGCCGGGCGCCACTCCTCCCTCCCGCTGCGCGTCCGACACCGGCATAGCCTCGGCCATTGACGCGTCGTGTCAGCGTCAGTGCACCCGCGCAGGCAAGACGGGTGGCCGCTGTGAGCAAGGCGGGCTGTATCTGCGCGCCGCGTGAACGGTCCGTCCCCGGTCGCACCGTGAGCCGCGGGCCGGAGCGCCGGCCGCGTGCGCGGCGCCACACCGTCTGCGGGACTGCCGTCCGCCCTGCCGTGCCCGGCTCGTACTCACCGCCTATAAATACTGACGCCCACTGGCAGTCGGCCCACGCCACCCATTCCAGCGCGTCAGCACGGGAGCTGCTCGCAGGCCTCTGTGCCTTCTCAGAATCATCGTTCTCAGCGCAGAATCGCGGTATTCGCGCGCTCACCGACAATAGGCGTTCGCATCCTCTGTGCTATCAACAGTCCCGTTCGCAGACAATGCTGTCGGCCTTGCTGAATCGGATTTCAGACAGCCTCGTGCCCGGCACGGACTAACGATTGTCCGGCACAGTGCGGACAGAAGGCTCGCGTCCAGCGTGGACTCGCGGTAGGCACATTCTCAATTTGGCCGGCATCCGTCCTGAACATGCAACGCGCGCAGTACGTCGCACGCGTGGTTGCACGTTCCGTGGTCCGTAGTCCCATAGCTCCCAGTCGACTCTCGGCCGCCCCCCACTCAGTACGATCCCTTGCGATACTCGTGCAAATCCCAGTGACTCGTTTCTGGTACTGATTTGAAACGCACACATACATTGTCGTCGCGCGTTCTCAGC